TATGTTAGTTTTATTTTCAGTTGTTTGACCGTTTTCTTATTATGTGCCATTGATAAAGGCTTTACCAAGCCGAAACGTTTGGCTAACAATAAATTTACGGATAATATAAGCAATTATTGAAATCTATGTACTCAATTATTTGTCTCTTTTGATCGTTTTCATTGATTTATCTCCTCCTACTATATGGCTTCTGTTGTTCTGTCTCGTGGTAGTCTTCAATATTCGCCTGCACAAGGTGTCAAATCTTCATTTTGTTTTTTCGTCCGATAACATGTTTGGATACCTGTTGTTGATAATCAACTTCTTAAACCTACCGATGTTTACTTTCTGCCACAATCGAACAACAACGATGTGATATCATCACCCTTCTTTTGTCACTGTGTACCCAATTTAGATTCAAATAAAGTCTCATTGAACGATAATGATTTTATTGACAATATAGTCGTTCAAAAAACAAGTACTGCCCATGACTGTGTTCCAGTTGTTCATGAAATGGTTATGCAGTCTTGCTAGTAATATTTTATGGTGACTTGTGGATGCAAACAATGACAACCCCTACATATGAATACAACACAGTAATTAAATAAAAATAATGGTAATATATTTTGATTCTAGCATTTCATACAATCTTCTATCATTTCCTCGTGAACCACATCTCGACACAATCGACAATCTTCGTTATATCTATCACTTTCTCGTGTCTGACGATGAATATCGTACACTTCTTGGTCGATTTCGTTTATGGCCACTGGCCTTTGTTCCATGTAATGAGACTAATGGTAGTTTTTTATTTGCTTATCAAGTCTTTTGGCATGATCCAATTTCATTGTTATCACAACGTATAACTCAACAACGTATTCCCATCTAATCATTTTATGGTAACGATAATAATGCACTTTTCTGTATTTTTATTTTTACAGATGATATCAAATTACCGTAATTCGAACATTGTTTTTGTTCTCTCCTTCAAATGCAATGTCTGGTCAATGTTACTGAAGTACTTGTCGATGTTGACAATGCGCAACAATCTGTTGAATTACTTGATTTCTATGCTCATTCTATTGATTTAATCTAACGTTTTCTACGTTCAAATTCACTCCTATCTGATACACCATCACAACATCTTGCTCATGTTTTTGTTCGAATGAACTTTTTTTGCGTCGATCATATTCGTCTTTCTTGTCGATATCAAACCATTGAAATAGCGCATCGGTCGGCACATATTTTGGATGCTCATATCGATAAATTATTGAGCAAATTTTATATTTTGACGAGATGAAAATCAGATTTGCTCTATATTCGTACAATAGTCAATTTTCTTATATTAATATTAGATAATAACAAAGATTTCGAAATGACACGGTCTAAACTTTCATCGTATATCAGAGAATTATTATATCAATGTCAAAATGAAGGCAAACAAGATCTGGCAAAACAACGAGAATCCGTCGAATATCAATTCAAATTGATAATTCCACAAGCGATCGAAACTAAACAACTTTTGACGATTCCAGTTCACGATCAAGAAGAAAAACCTAACGAGCTTGTGATCATTACAGCCGACATGATCGAGAAGTCGGGCTTGTTTTTCAAGCTCGTTCGCCAGTTACCCAGAGCGCGATCTATATAACTTCAAAGGTTCGAATTGACTCCTGAAGAATAAAGTCATTATCTGTTCACAGACAAGAAGATATTCATGAACGCACCTCGACTTCTGCTAAGAATATGATTGAAATAGGTTCAATAAACAATCAAGCGAGTGTGATAGTCTTTTTCCTCAGTTATACAAACTTTAAGCTTGTACTTAGGAATTAGGAATGTGTACTTATTAACTGTACCAAACAGACCAATTGAAACTCTATATAAGTACCACTTATATGAAGTTTATATTTATCTCAGAAATATATCGTGATGGTAGCCAAGTGGTGCAGACGTATTGCTTCTACTTTACTGTCGTATTTTATTCATTTTCATAGTTCACTTTCATTGGTCCTACACTAAGAATAAGTAGAAAGAAGAGATACTAGATCACCGTTCAACTAAACTTAAACTGCAAGTTGAATGTAAACAAACTTGTTGCTGTTAGTCCGTTAGAGATTTTGATGAAAAATCTCTTTATACAGTACCACCGAACGTAGACTAAACACATTTGAATTTCGTGTCAACAATGTAAGTAATATTTGTTACTCAAATCATTTACTTTATAGATTTATTTCTATTGTAGTACGCTGTTCCGAATACCGATACAACCCATTATTGTAAAATCTATAACATACTGACCTTCAAGAAGAAACGTCATGCTATTGCTATGTGTAATATTTTTAAATGTAGGTAGTCAACATTAATTGCCTACATTATATCTTTTAGCGTAACGTTTGCCAATGTGCCCCACGGCTTGTTCAGCTAACGGCCTCCATTTTTTGCTCTTTTCGGAAAGTTATTGCGATAAAGCTACAAACTGATCTAAAATGGCAACTAAATGATTAAGTAGATGAAACGTTTCTCCACAAATCGAAAGGTGTCTCGGCTCTGAACGTTGATTCGTTATGAAAATACAGCTGTTGTACAAACAGCCCCCAAAATCGATTTTTGGGCTATCTGAAAAGCGTGTCTAAAAGAGTGAAGTCGAGCTGGTAAACATTGAACAAATATACTAGCTCGACTTCACGCCACCATGGAGAATCCGACGGAACGACGAGACCATTTCTCAACATTTTATCTATCTCTTGTTGAATATTGTTACGTTGTTCGATGGTCTTGAAGTATGGTTTTGCATTCACTGGAGGATGATCGCTCGTATGACGAATGTTCGTCTTAATTGTCCGTGGTTCGGATGTGTGGAACAATACGCAATACTGTTGTAGCAGATTGGACAAATGCTGATGCTGTTGGACATTGGCGCTGAGATGTTGAGACAGTGTGTCAATGAGAGTATTCAACGGTGCCGTCTGTTTTAGTTTTTTGATGTTGGTTATTCTGCTGCATTGTTGTTTGAGAGAGAACCGATGTTGAAAAATATGTGCTCAATGACAAGCGACTAATTGTGCCCAATGTCGTATTCTTTGGTAGTGTCACCACTCATGCTGTTGGATTAAAGACAGTTAATCGAATGTTGTTGTTCTTCACCAGGACTAGCCCGTCACCGAGTGGAATTCGTTTGTATTGTTGTGTGTTCTTGTCGATGGCTTCGAAGAAGATGTTGTTCGCATTTCCAATATCGGATGTTGTGACACTCACTACACATTCAGTTCGTGGTAATATCGTATACTGTTGGGTCAATCGCACAGCACTCGGTCTCTCGTCGTCAAATTTTACCCATGTTCGTCTCTGTCGATCATGAATGACAACACACTCCTGTGCCGTTCTGATCTCTACTCTAAAATTTCGAATAAAATCCATACCTAAAAAAAATCGGCTGTTAAATCATCAACTACCATTGTTTTTATTTCACATTTGAAGTCTCTTATCTTCAATTTTAAATAGATCCACCCGTATCGGATCACTGTTGTTTTTGAATCGCCCAGTGTGACCTCGCCCGTTTGTTTATAAATTTGATGTTGTTTATTCAATTTCATCACAGTTGACATTGTAATAAATGAGGATGTTGCTCCCGTATTTACCATGGCACGAATTTTTCTGTTGTCGATTAGAGTTGGAATAAAGATCAATGATGATGGTTGGATATGGTGGGAGACAGTACCATCATATGCTCCCATTAGAAGTTTTTTGACCAACAATCACGTGCAAAATGACCCGTCCTGTTGCATTGATAACATCTTGGGAGTGGCGGTAATCGTTGTTGTTGTGTTTGCTGATAACGATAATAATTTGTATTTACCCCTGGATATTGTTGTTGCGCTTTTAGATAATAACTTGGACCATACTGGTGCGGAAACATTTGTTGATGTTGTGGATAAATTTGTGTTGATGTAATGGTGGATGTTGATAATAATGTATAACTGCTTCTTCGACACCTTGTTGACGGTTTCGAACTTGCTGCTTGTTCTTTAACTAACGGTGACGAATATGGTTTTTGTACGTTATCATTAAATTTGCTCCAGATATCCATATCGTCCATATTGTGAGTATACCACGTTAATGCATGATCACGTAAAAACGTGGATATACTTTTATTTTTCTCTGTATCACTAAAACCAGCTAATTTAAATGCATTTGTAACATCTTTCAACCATTTCGTAACATTTTCATTATTTTCCCCAGAAAATGTAACCTGCATGCAATAACCTTGACCACAGTCTTGCACCATGAGCTTGAATATATTCTTGCGCAATAACCTTGAGTATGATCTTCTGCCTTATGGCACCACTCTAGTAAGTGACATAACAACCATGACTTTCCGGCTTTCTCTTCGGGTCATGATAATCATACGAGCCCAGGTTCAACTTTTGTTTTTTCTAGTGAAACCGCTAATGTTGAAAAGTGAAATCCATACATTTTACTAGCTTTAATCTGCGATTTTGACAGTTCTGTATCTTAAAAACTAAAACGGATCTTTTTGTGGAAAATAAATGAATATATAGTACAATTTGTGTACTTCAAATCAGTATAGAAGGCGAAAAAGGATCTTCTCTAGTTATTTTAGTTTTAAGTCGAGAAGTGGGTAGAACATAAAATAAATTCACAGCGACGGCACATCTTTTTCCATAATTTTGTTTTTCTTACTTTGTTCGCTAAGGAGAAAAATTGTTCTCTATGGATATCCTCTGCTTATATAAGAAAAAAGAATCAGAATTAAGAATAGTATGATCAAATATGATACAATAAAAACGCATCTCTCTCTGTAAAGTCGAAGAGCAGAACAGTTGGAAAGATAATACCTGATTACTCCATATTCTGACACATGAACGAAGTAACTATCGTCCACCCTGAGGATTAGCTGAAAAACTTGAAAAAAAAATTTTCCTTTAGGATAAAAACTAGAAACAGACACTCTTAATGTGACTTTGTTTACTTTGTCAGGATATTGAGGAAGCTTGTACTAGACATTGTCTTTCTTAAGCATAAGCTGACTGAATATTTCGACGAAAATATAAAGTTTGTTCATTTGTTATGTACAACAAAAGTGTTTAATAATAAAAGTGTACGACACAGTGGCATTATTTTAGACACAACTTGTATAAATTTAGCATGTAATTAATATACATAACTGTTTATCAGTTTGTAATTGTTATTATCAAAATACAATAAAATTTCTCATCGGTGCAGTAAACACTAACTTTGTTATCGATATAATCGCCAGATATTCGATGAAAATACACCTTGTTCCTCTCTTATATTAAGTCTAGGAACAAAAAAGGAGTTGAATATGTACGGTATGTGCCAAAATAAGAAAAACGAAGCAAATGAATCATACACATGCCTATAGAATAACATTTTTCTTAAACTCAAATAAGAGAACAGATTCTATTTGCATCGAATGTTCAGTTTAGTCAGCATGAAGAGATGTCCAAACTTTGCTGGAATCATCTGACTATGATGTTCCAAAAGGTGATCAAGAAAATTATGTTGGTCATCCCAAATTAATGAAACGACTCTGTCGGATTTGGTGACTACCCTTGTAACAAAAGAGAAAGTACCCAATTTTGTAGAGGATCTTGCGGCGCGTCGAATGATATATAAACCATCTATCACTCATTTGTTCTTCAGAGACTCCATAAGCTTAAACAGAAAAACTAACGATCATGCATCTTTCGCCATTTGCAATATCATAGCTAATCAGTCTAAAGAAAAGAAATATTCTCTCCTATCTAGTTTTGTAGAGCTTTTCGCGGGCTACATTTCTGTATACATCGCAGCCATACCACATATAGTCGTTCCAGAGAAAAGAGGAATTTTTCATCGAAACGTGTGACTTGATAACTTCGGTCAGTTTCAGTGTGCCCGCCAACGAATTTTTCCTATTTGCAGAACCACCGCCAAACTTTCTCAGAAATTGCGCGGGAGAAAGCTCTATTCGTCACTAAAATTTCAGCATCAGAATCAGGGCGCGCCGTATGCATTTTGCTCACCATTGAGATTCAAGTACACAATTTTCGGTTAGTTTCGCATATATTCGATTCACATTTCGGTCGTCCAGATCTCAAATGAATTTCAACTTAAAATCCGATATCAGATTCGTGTTCGGCGATAAAAACTGAACCAAACTGATCATTGTAAAACATCCATCTAGACACTTCGGTGTCATGAGGCCTCATGTCACTTTTGTTTCAAGTTAATCTCGTTTTCTTAGAAGAGACACTATATTCAGCAGGCTGAATCGACAGTCTTTTTAGTTCTTGAAGGGCTACTAGATACGCAAGATGATATTCGATAGCAGACTTATATTTCTCTCACTTCTTCTGAGAAGCACCACGTGTAAGAGAAAACAGCACTCTAGTAAGCTAGTTGTCATGGAAGCAGGCTTGAATGTTTGCTTGAAAAGAATCAGTCCGTGTTGGTGGTGTCCATCCACAGTAACGAGCATGACCTAGGTACCATAGAACTGTGGCGACGTGTCCACAACACCCGATATTGCGTGCGCCACTTCTGTATTGACAGTAGTGATCAATGATACACTGTTAAAAAAATTCACATTAGATCTTAGGGGTAGCCTACCACCTTCGTGTGAATTTTCCGCTATGATAAGTTTACGCTAAATATTCGGTTGCATTTACATTTTTTTAAAAAACATATTTAACG